GCAAATACAAGAGATTATAACTATTATGTAAGTGCATAGGTATAGATAATTTAAAAGGCAAAATTTATATACATATATATATATATATATATATATATATATATACGTAGATATTATATTGCCAAAAATATGGATGTATCTATGTTTTAACAATATTTAAAAAAGAGAGAGAGAGAGAGAGAGAGAGAGAGAGAGAGAGAGAGAAAGAAAGAGAGAAAGAGAAAAGAACAGAGATATCGAAAAGACAATAATATATTGTTACTTGTGTCGTAGGAAAATACAGCAAACGCTAATTCTACTAAAATACATAACAGTAACCGTATTTGAATTAATTATCCTCTATATCTCGCAACTGGTTTTGTTCTGCTTTAGTTTCCTATCCGTGGGCTATCGGAGATACAGACCGAGAGGAAGAGATATTTAAATCGAGACCGCGAACCCTAGCGTTCACCACTGGTAATATTAATCATAATTGTGAAATCCGATCGAAACGCAATCGAGTAGCCACGAACTAGAGGATCCAGTAATGAGATATGGGAACCACGACTGACCAGACTTTGTTCAAGCTTTTCGACCAACTTTAAAATCGTTTTGCCTTCGATCACTTCTTCCTGACAGACGCATTTATGCGTTTGAAAGAGAAAGAGGGAGAGAGAGAAAGAGATAGAGAGAAAGAGATAGAGAGAAAGAGAGAGAGAGGGAGAGAGTGAGAGTGAGAAACATGCCTGTAGGCCTTTGAGAACTTGCCAAAGATATATGCCTTCTCTCTTTCTCTACTTTTTTATTTTTCTCTCTGTCTCTCTCTGTCTCTCTCTTTCTCTCTCTCTCTCTCTATCTATCTATCTATCTCTATCTCTTTCTCTCTCCTTTCTTTTTCTCTTTCTCTTTCGATGTAGAAGCAAGAAATTTGAGATACCAATCTCGCCAAAGTTTCCAAATAGATTGCTTCCGATGCAAAATTCTAAGAGACGATGTGAAAAGACACTTATGACGAATCCTCACCTTTCTTGGCACGATCAAGAAGAGGAGAACGTGAACTAAACTGTCTTTCGAGAGTCATCCGATCACTAAGATTTGCTAAGAAGATGTCTTGGTTGGTGTAAGAAAATTTTGACACTTCAATCCGTCCGATTGCATAACGGTGACGTCTTCATAAGTTATTGGAACAAAATTTACATGTATCTATTTTGATCATTTATATTTTACAATTTATATTTAAACTGTTATCTTAATATTTATCGATCATAAATATATATATATATATATATTTTTTTTTTTTTTCATCTGAAACAGAAATAATTCTCGATTTATAATCGATGAACATACACAAATCTCAAATAATTAGAATTCCTTTAGAATAAGAAATTTTTCACATTCTAATCAATTCCCATCCTATCCTCGATAAAACATTTAGTTTCTCGTCGATCGAACCATGAAGTAGAGAAATAGTAGTTGTTGTTATCACCGGTGTGTACACAAACCAGAATGCTTCTAACGCAGTATCCGTTAGCCAGTATCCTTCTTTCCTGGCGGCTAACAAAAGGCGACTAGACTTTTCTGAAAGGCTGCTTTTCACTATGAAATATTCTCCCTTCTTTTGCTCATAGATTGCAGTTACGTTGCTAACGTTGCTTCCTCTTCATCTTTCGAGATAGAGCAAGTGAACGAGTGGACGAGGGCATTAAGTCCGATGCGTGGCAAAGTCCTGGATGGATTCTACGCGTATAAGTATCCCTGAATCCACATATATCCATGTGTGGATCACGATCGTATGTGTGTGAGTGAGGTTTGCCGAGGGGATAATAGTGTAATGGATGGACAGGGACAACGGACTAACGGATGAGACTGCTGTTTTCGAGATTCCCTCTCTCTCTCTCTCTCTCTCTCTCTCTCGTTCTCGCTCTCTCTCTCTCTCTCTCTCTCTCCCTTTCTCTTTCTCTTTCTAATCATAGGAAAGAAGCAACGAACGAACGAACGAACGAACGAACGAACGAACGAACGAACGAACGAACGAACGAACGAACGGACGAACGAGCTGCCTAGTATCGGTATTATTCTCTTTTGTAGGTTAATTGGCATCATTGTTGTGCATTGTCGAAACGACGACGAATCGTCCACGAGATTAACGAATAAAAGCCGATCGGTATGTCTGACAAAAAAAAAAAAAAAAAAAAAAAAGAAGAAAAAAAATAGAGAGAAGAAGAAGACCTGTCGTACGACGAGCTAGATCTCATTTAAACGATATCCATACGATATGGAAAATAAACTAAACTATTAATTAACAAGGCGTGTACCTTGGGCATATTATTTTGTTTCGTCTTGTTTTTCAACGCGAACTCTTTTGTTACGTAAATTTAGAAAAGTTTGGAAACATCTTTTTTTTTCTATCCTTTTTTTTTGCTTTTTTTCGTTCTTTTTTTGTTTTTTTGTTTTTTTGTTTTTTTTTTTTTTGAACACCGAGATCCCATAAAAATCCATAAAATTCCGTCAATTCGGACAA